ATAGTCCTAATTTCTTATTTGGTGTGGAGAGCGGCTAGAGCATTTGAACAGGTTCAAGCCTCGGACTATTGAGAGGGCACGGTCCTCTCGTGGCAAAGCCACGTGCAGGTCCCAGCTTGGAGGGCAAAGCCCTCCCAGCACAATTATAGCCAAAGGATATGGTTATAAGCTTGACCTTATGGTCCGAACCTGTGGTCCCAGAGAGCTGAGTGATATAGGCTACGGGAGGTGCAAGTGCTGCCAAAACAAAGCTTGATAGAGTTCTCAGGTGCATGTAATCAAGTAGATTTGAAACTTTCGAGAACACTGTACTAGTGAACATCTTAACCATGCCCTTGCTTTGCCTCGTGGGATCTGACTATAAAATAAAGACTCAACTTACAGGCTGGGGCACTGTCTCTCCATCCAAGAATAGTGTCCCACCTGACCCCAACTGTATTCTCTTGTCTGTCTTTAATCCTTCACCACCCCTCCTCAGTTTCACCCCTGGCCGTGCTGGACGAGGTTCAAAAATGACAATGAGGTACCATCTCACACCTGTCAGAATAGCTGTCATCAACAAATCAACCAAAGAGAAGTGCTGGCGAGGATGTGGAGAAAAAGGAACCCTCTTGCACTGCTGGTGGGAATGTAGGCTGGTGCAACCACTGTGGAAAACAATATGGAGTTTCCTCAAAAAATTATAAATGGAGCCCCCATTTGACCCAGTAATCCACTTCTAGGAATATATCCCAAGAAATCAGAAACACCAATCAGAAAGGATATATGCACCCCTATTTTCATAGCAGCATGATTTGGAAACAGCCTAAGTGCCCATCTGCAGAGTGCATTAAAAAAACTATGGCATATCTATACAATGGAATACTACGTTGCTGTAAAAAAGAAGGAACTCTTACCATTTGCAACAGCATGGATGGACCTGGACAGCATTATGCTAGGCAAAATAAGCCAGTCAAAGAAAAAGAAATATCACATGATCTCACTCATTTGTAGACTATAATGAACAACATAAACTGATGAACAAAAACAGATCCAGAGACAGAGAAGCATCAATCAGACTGTAAAAAAGAAGGAACTCTTACCATTTGCAACAGCATGGATGGACCTGGACAGCATTATGCTAGGCAAAATAAGCCAGTCAAAGAAAAAGAAATATCACATGATCTCACTCATTTGTAGACTATAATGAACAACATAAACTGATGAACCAAAATGGGGGGGGGGGATAGATTTTAGGATATAATAGAAGTAATCCTGTTATTTGCAGATTTCTAATATTTCCTACAACTTTTGTGATGTTATACTATCTATGTTAGTACAGTTTTGGTAATATTATTATATTTAAAATCTTTTTTTCTTGAAATATTAAAAAATAAAATAAGGAAAAAAAAGAAAAGCACAGCCCTAGCCTGTTTGGCTTAGCTGTTAGAGCAGACTGAATGGTCTCAGATTCAATTCCGGTCAAGGACATGTACTTTGGTTGCAGGCTCGATCCCCAGCTCAGGTTGGGGAGTGTGTGGGAGGCAACCAATCAATGTATCTCTCTCACATCCATGTTTTCCTCTGTCTCTCCTCCTCTCTTCCAATCTCTTTAAAAATCAATGGAGCCCTAGCTGGTTTGGCTCAGTGGATAGAGCATCAGCCTGCGGACTGAAGGGTCCCAGGTTTCATTCTGGTCAAGGGCACATGCCTGGGTTTCGAGCTTGATCCCCAGTAGGGGGCGTGCACGAGGCAGCCAATCAATGATTCTCATCATTGATGTTTCTATCTCTCTTTCCCTCTCCCTTCCTCTCTGAAATCAATAAAGATATATTATAAATAAATAAATAAATAAATATCAATGGACAAAAATCCTCAGGTGAGGATGAACCTCCCACTCTAAAAAAAAAAAAAGGCACAAAAGGCTGTTTGCCTAAGGCCATGGTCGGCAAACTGCGGCTTGAGAGCCACATGCGGCTCTTTGGCCCCTTGAGTGTGGTTCTTCCTAAGCCTTAGGAGTACCCTAATTAAGTTAATAACAATGTACCTACCTATATGGTTTAAGTTTAAAAAATTTGGCTCTCAAAAGAAATTTCAATCGTTGTACTGTTGATATTTGACTCCGTTGACTAATGAGTTTGCCGACCACTGGCCTAAGGTCACCCGGAGAGTATTTTTGCCATGATTATTTCCCGGGTCAAAGTGGATTGAATGAGAAACAACTGTTTCTTGAGCCTGTGTTAGATGAACATTTGCATTTTATTAAATAATAGCAGCTAGCAGATGTACAGTTTATGAAGTTCTGAAACTCGCCCAGCTGGGAGGTATGGAGGGGACACCGTCTGAGTGTGGGCCGAGAGGCAGGTGATGGATTGCATGAGGTGCTGTACCTGAATCACCTCCTGCTTGGAGCAACGTCGTGCTAACATTTACACTTACCTTAAAGCTTAATAGCAAATATTTATTCACTTTTTTGTGTGTATTTCTTCTTAAGCTATATATTTTCTGATGCAATTATTCTTACAAAGACTATAGGTAATGTATATGTAAGTTATGAATCTGAATAGTAAAGCAAATTCTTATGAAGAAAAACCACAAACTAGGCAAAAAAAGAATTACAAAACCAAGTCAACAAAACACTTGGCTTATTCCAAGTTTTAAAAAGCCTAGCATTCTTGCCCTAACCGGTTTGGCTCAGTGGATAGAGCGTCGGCCTGGCCTGCGGACTGAAGGGTCCCAGGTTCGATTCTGGTCAAGGGCATGTACCTTGGTTGCAGGCACAACCCCAGTAGGGGGTGTGCAGGAGGCAGCTGATCGATGTTTCTCTCTCATCGATGTTTCTAACTCTCTATCCCTCTCCCTTCCTCTCTGTAAAGAATCAATAAAATATATTTTTAAAAATAATAATAAAAGCCTAGCATTCTAAACAATGAAACAAGGCAGGTTTATTCAGCAAAACCCTGACATTTCATAGTAAAACTATCAGAAATTAAGGAAGGAAATGCTACCAGATGAATTGCTAACCTCCAGCTTCCTACTCTACTATTTGTACCATCAGATATATCTTACTAACAGGAAGACTGAATAATAACATCAAGTTTTTTGGCAGAGAATGTGGAAGTTCAGAAGACTATATTCTAGAACTACCTCTACTACACTAAGAATCTGGACATTTCTCTTAGTCATATTCATATCTCAATGGTTCTAACTATAAACTCAATCTAACAGTCAATAAAAATATGCTGTATGATAAAATAACTATAAAGTACATACTATAAAAGACAAGTAGAAACTACTGTGCTCATATTAAGAAATAATCATGTTACAATCAAATTTTCATGTTTATAAACGAGTCTGTAAACTTATGAATAAACAACACAAGTTTTGAACTGAATTTCATATTACAGTTACTAATTTTTAGAATGCATTCCAAATATAGCCTGTGTTAGAAAATGCCCTCCCCCTTTTCTGCAGGTTATCAATAGAGTGCACTTTCAGAACCTTAGACATACGAAATGAATCATAACTTTATAGATTCCATACCAAGAGGAAACACCTTGGATTCCACCATGGACCCACTGGAGTGTGACATACAAAAGAGGGGACAATGCGCCAAAAATAGAGTAAGCCACGATAGTGCTAGCAGATGGTATGTCTAAAAAGTGCTCATTAACAAATCAGCATGTTCCCTCTGACCACAGAATTCAGAAACTGAAACGAAGTAAGTGAAAAAAAAAGGGGGTGTGGGAGCGCACCAGAGGTCAAAGGCCTCTGGAAAGGGTGTCCGTCATTAAGTTTTCCCCAGGGAAATGGCGAGGGACGATGCACAATGACGTTTTAAAAGAAATTCCAAATTCAATTTGAAATGGAGGAGGTCGCACAGCTGAGCTTCAAGCACAAGTTTCCTGACTCCTGTCCGGGCGCCCAGAATTCCCTCTCTGCCTAATGACTCACGCGCTCGCATGAACGAGGCTTAGACCCAGAGCTCCTCCCAGGAAAAGAACAATGCTTAGGAGTACTCCTTCCCGGGGTGTGCTCAAGAGGGGGCGCAGCGAGAGCTCGCGACTTCATGCAACTACAGGAACAGGGGCTGCGGCCACAGGAGACACCAGCAAGGAGGCATCCGGCCGGACAGGACCGAATGGGCCGAGGACCCGACGCCAGGGCTCTCCGCGAGGCCGCGCGGCCTCCAGGTGGCAGCACTGGC